AGATTTGGGGAAAAGAAAGGTCTGTGCGCGACTTGTTCCACATGAATTAAATGATGACCGAAAAATCGCTCGAATTTTTAAAGAAAAAATTGATTTCTCTCATCGACCATCCTCCGTATTCGCCTGATCTATCACCATGTGACTGAAAACCAAGTTGAAGGGAGCATTTTATGATGACAACCCAGCCATTCAAGCAGCCGTAACAGAGGTACTGAAGAACATTTCTATGAGTGACATAAAAAAAACTATGCATGCGCTGGTTGATCGTTCCAGACGTTGTGTTGAGTCAAATGGAACCTATTTTGAATAAATAACAACTTTAAAAGATAATATAATGTGTATTTTATTTTATATCCAAAAAGTTCGGTTATTTTTGGGACACACCGTGTAATTAACAACACGGTTTATATATAATATATATTTTTCAATTATTTAACTAAGAATTTTAACGTCATTTTGTACCCCGCCTCGCTGTTGTGCCGCAACTGATCAAAAGAATACTAACAGGCCTATTCTTTGGTATCAAAATTTATCATTCAGTAAATTTTGTTACCATTTCGTATTCTGAGCTCACTGTCACCCTGAAAGTTTTGTTACCAGCGAAATAGGGGGTAAGAAAAATATCTGCTGTTGGATTTTGTGTTGTAAGTTTGAGAAAAAACCAAATGGGTAGGCAGTTTTTAGGCCTGGAATTCATTGAAGATGAAGAAAAAAGTGCAAAAAGCCGTATTTTAAGAAGTTTTCGAGACTAAAAAAGTAGACCTTTAATTTGTAAGATAACGTTTTCATACAGCTTTTTTTTGTTGTCCAGGCATATTTTCCATAATTTGGTTCAAATATTTATGATTTAATAAACAAATTAATATAATTTTTTAATTTTTTTGTGCATCTCCTTCCATTTCGATGTGCATATTTTTCTTTTTACTTTACAAACTGACAAATATAATTTGACATGGACGAAAAAAGCAGTGCTGCCAAATTTTTTTTCAAACATTGTAACCTGTGCGCCAACCTGTTCGTTCATCGATGACGAAATTTGTTACTGGGATCATCATGTACATATGTACTCGTATATACATAAATATGTATGTGAATGATCTCTTTTGGTTGCGTACATTGTATTGTATTTAAAAATCGTATTTAAATCGTTTTTGCGATAATCTTATCATAAACAAAGTTGCGAACATACGAGTAAATATAATTATATGTACATATGTTTGTATGTATGTATGTACGTATTTATTAGGTATTTAACTTGCACTTAAAACGACTTGGGTCAATACAGATCAAAGTGCAACGATCGATACAACTTTGAAAGAATCTAAAAGCCATCAAAGGCAAGCACTTCATTTGCCTCAAACAATCTATTTCGAATATGCATACGAGGGGTGCTACTTAAGTTAATTTCATACAGCTTTTTTCCAGAAAATAGCTTAGAGTTTTGGTGAAGGAATTTCCGGTCGACCTCTCCTATGAATTTATGGTATTTGTCTGTATATTTATCCAACAAATGGTAAGACCTGCAGTCCCGACGGCTTATGGTCTGTTATGACGAGCTTTTATTTCATGCTCGGAATACACTGGGGGGGGGGGATTGAAGTTACAGTAGTAAATAGTACGTGCTAATAATTTGAATAGACTACGTTATATCGGGGCAGTTGGACGAGGCAATGTACTGGATTCTGGTTCTAAAATAAACTCGAGCGTGGGCTTACCCACCAGTCCCACCAGTCATAAGAAAGTGTTTCAAGTTGCCAAGTCACGGTGCAAAAATGGCTGTAGAAGTGCTGCAAGAAACAGGTCTACTCAAAAGGATTGATGGCTTGCGCCACAAACAGATTTGCTAGCAATCTAGAGCCTAGAGCAATATAGCGATCGACCACAAACCACGCTGTGTGGGAGAGATACAGTGTTGAGTGACTGCAGTGCGTGAGACTGAAGAGCTTGAAAAGTTGACCGAGAGGGATAATGTTTAAGAATTCTATGAAAAAAAATATACGGTGCCTTACAGTAGATCTCAAGACCGCATCATGCATATGTAGTACTTCAAACGATGATCTGGTGGCCTAAGATCTGAGTATGAGGACGCGAGTATGAAAGAAAAACAGCTTCCGTCTGCTGAATGCCAGCGAAGTGAAACGTCCGGAGTTGGTGAAACCGAGTTCCTAATCGATGACGATAAAATATAACCCATAACCCGCGAATGTCCGCCTGGCGAACAACAAAGCAACGGCAGCCCATAGCTTACCGGCTTAGTTATTCAGATATGTTGGTAAAGAATTTGCACCAGCTAAATTTCAATATTTGGTCGGATGAGTGCGCGCCTTACGATTGGAAACCGGTTGTGCTATATCCAATCCACTAAAATAGGTGACTCCACATCTCTGCAAAGAGCTGTATTTGTCACTAAATATGTCCTGAGTTTCGTATCCTCGCAAAACTTATACAACTGATTAAGCGGTCAGTATAGAGATAAGCGTTTCTAAGGTGAGGTGACTTAGGTGACTCTTTAACGTGGAACTTCTTCGAATGCTGAAGAAAATAATTGCAACTACATAGCTAAATAGAGAAAGTACACTCCTTTACCAGAGCGTACAACTCCTGACGTGTAAAGATGATATTGCTTGATCGGCCTCAACAACCACGTCGTCAATACTGCGTTCTACAGACCGTACTAGGTGCTACTTCGGAATGAGTAAGCAATTAAAATACCATTAAAATCTGCTCAAAGATGAAACTCTATAATAATGTTCTGAACATTTCCGTCTTCCATATGGTGCGGAGACCTGGGCAACCACTAAGGAGTCGGCATTTAAAGTTTTCGAGAGAGAGAGAGGTTTTGAGGAATATTTATTGTCTCCACTTGATGTACGATGAGCTCTACGAAATATACGGCGATATTGACATGCTGGCGCCCACGATAGTCGAGTGGTTAGCCGTGTTGATTGGTCCGACCAAGATCCAAGAATTATAGAAAATTAAAATTGAAATAGAAAATTAAATGCATTTTTCCAAATGGGCTCGCCCCTCAGCATGGAGTGTCAAGCCCACCGAGTGTATTTCAAACATTTAATCTTTTTAATAAAATTCCACTGGCCGTTCGGAGGCGGCTTCGAATAAACTGGAAGATGCAAAAACTACAAATTGGAGGAGTAGCAGAACCGCAAATCGCTTCAGCGGTTACAAAGCGTCAATTGTATTATATATTGACATAGTTCAGTGGGTCAAGATAACCGACTGGGTCTTATCCTCCGGATATATGACAACACCACCAACGCGGAATGTATACGATGCAGTACAGTTCGGTGTAAGCAGGGAACGAGAAAGACGTTGGATCGATCAGATGCAGAAAGACGTGGTTGCAGTTGATGTGTTCAATTGTCGAGCAGGAGAAATGAATGCCGTGATATTTTGAACTCGTCTAGTCGTTGAGTAGTAGTCTCATAATATTTTGGTTTGTGTATTGGATGAGTGCATAAGTTCGTGCCCGATTTCAAGTGAAAACTAAAATTGAAATTTTTTGAAGAAAGCGCTTTTATTAATCAATTATGTATTCGCCATCATGTTCGGCAATACACTTCCAACGTTCAACCAATTTACGGATGCCTGTTTCATAGAAATCGCGCGGTTTCTCGTTGAAAAAGGTGTCAAGGTGGTTTTTGACGTCTTCCACATTTTTAAATTTTTTTCCATTCAAATTGTTCTGCAGCGATCGAAACAAATGATAATCAGAAGGTGCAATGTCGGGTGAATATGGGGGATGCGGCATGATTTCCCAATTCATCTCCTTCAGTTTGGCCAGGGTCGGTTTTGCAACATGTGGCCTGGCGTTGTCATGATGGAAAAGAACTCCTTTGCGATTGGCCAAAATCGGACGTTTTTCATCAATTGCTTTCTTCAATTCGACCAATTGCTGACAATACTTGTTGGCAGTGATCGTTTCTCCAGCTGGCAAGAGCTCAAAATAGATCACGCCTCGGATATCCCACCAAATGCACAGCAGTACCTTCATCGGATGCAATCCACCTTTCGACATCGGTTCCGCCCCTTCGTGTGCCTGTTTCCATGTTCTTTTGCGTTGAACATTGTTGTACAGGATCCATTTTTCATCACCAGTCACGAGCCGATCCAAAAAAGGTTCGTTTTTGATCCGTCGAAGCAAAGAAATTGCTGTTGACATACGGTCCACTTTGTTTTTTTCACTCAACTGATGTGGCACCCATGTATCGAGCTTCAAAGTGTACCCAACCTTTTTTAAACGACGAAACGCAGTTGATTTGTTGACGTTCAATTCACTGGCAACCTCTTCCGTCGAAATACGTGAGTTATTCGCAACTAAAGTCCTTAGAACATCGTCATCAAGCTCAGAAGGCCGTCCACTGCGAGGTTGATCTTCGAGGTTAAAATCTCCAGAACGAAATTTCGCGAACCATTTCTTTACTGTGCGGAGTGCTGGAGCACGGTCCAAATAAACTTCGCGAATATCTTTAGTTGCAGCGCCTACTGTTTTTCCTTTGCGGAATTCGTATAACATAATATGACGCATATGATCTTTTTCTTTGTCCATCTTCCATGCGTCTTTTCACTAAGCAACTCAAATCAAAATGAAGTTATTTTATGCTTTATTTACAGTTCGGACTGTCACCTTTCCAACGATATATAATATGTATATATTTCTTTCACGAGCGTCACTCAAACGATTCGAACGGCATCCAGCGGAATCGGGCACGAACTTATGCACTCATACAATTCATTTGCATTTGATTAGCCGATTAGTATTTATATATATATTTTGAAAATTGCTTATCTACGAAGATTATGTGAATTGCTGGGGGCTCGCAAAATATATATTCTGCAGAGTTTTTTATGGCTCACTAGATTTATGACCCAATTTTTTGTTTGTACTAAGGGTATCTTAAAAAATGAAAACAATAAAATCTATTTTTGGAATCCATTTAATTACTAATTATGCTCTTCCTCACTTTTATTACCCCTTATAGCGCACTCTGGGCCTACCTTAAACTGCTGCGTCTTACGAAGAAATACGAACGTGAAAATCTCACCATTGCGGATGTGTTCCAAATGCAGGTGAAACAGAATCCCAACAAGCATGCGATCATCAGCGATACGCAGCAGTGGACCTTTCGTCAGTTGGAGGAATTTTCAAATCGCGTAGCGAACTTTTACCACGCGCAAGGTTTTCGCAAAGGCGATGTTATCGGCTTGTTACTGGAGAATCGCGCCGAATTCGTGGGCATTTGGTTGGGTCTATCGAAAATCGGCGTTATTACGCCACTCATCAATACCAATCAACGCGGTCCCTCGCTATTGCACAGCATCACAGTGGCGCATTGCAAATCGCTGATATTCGGTGAGGGTTTCACTGACGCCGTGCAGGATATACGCAAAGATATACCCGCCGATGTATCGTTGTATCAGTTCAACGATGAAGCCAATAAGAGTGTGCTTGAAACGGCTAAGGATATGACAACATTGCTGGAGACCGTTGAGAAACGTAAAGTCGCGGCGACGGCAGAGCGCGCCAACCATCATGATCGTTTGGTTTACATCTATACATCGGGTACGACAGGCTTACCGAAGGCGGCGGTGATCTCGCATGCGCGGTGGGTTTGTAGCAACATAACTTTTCTTGCAATTTATTAACAATTCTCTACAACACATTGCAGCTACCTCTTCATTGCGGCCGGCATTAACTACACCATGGGCTTTCGTCAGGATGACATCTTCTATACGCCGCTGCCGCTCTATCATACCGCCGGCGGCATTATGAGCATGGGTCAGTCGGTGTTATTTGGCTCCACCGTCGCCATACGCAAGAAGTTCTCGGCCTCTGGCTACTTTGCGGACTGTGTTAAATTTCAAGCTACCGTAAGAAACTGCCACTCCTTACGTATGCCCTAATTAATTTACTCTCCCTTTCAGGTCGGTCAGTATATTGGCGAAATGGCGCGTTATATACTGGCTACACCGCCCTCACCCAACGATCGTGCACACAAGGTACGTCTCATTTTCGGCAATGGCTTGCGCCCGCAAATTTGGCCGCAATTCGTTGAACGCTTCAATATAACCAAAGTGGGTGAGTTCTATGGCGCCACCGAGGGCAATGCAAATATCATGAATAATGACAGCACCGTGGGCGCTATTGGTTTTGTCTCGCGCATATTGCCACAGGTGTATCCGATATCGATTTTGCGCGCCGACGCCGACACTGGCGAGCCCATACGCGGCGCAGATGGTCTATGTCAGCTGTGTGAACCAAACGAACCGGGCGTATTTATTGGTAAAATTGTTAAGGGCAACTCGGCGCGTGAATTTCTCGGTTATGTGGATGAGAAGGCGTCGGCGAAGAAAATTGTACGTGACGTTTTTCGTAAGGGAGATATGGCTTTCCTGTCGGGTGATCTACTGGTGGCAGATGAACGTGGTTATTTGTTCTTCAAGGATCGCACGGGTGACACGTTCCGTTGGAAGGGTGAAAATGTATCGACTAGCGAGGTGGAGGCGCAGGTCAGCAATGTGGCGGGCTATAAGGATACCGTTGTTTACGGTGTGACCATACCACATACCGAAGGACGCGCTGGCATGGCGGCTATTTATGATCCTAATAATGAGGTGGATTTGGTGGTGTTTGCGGATAAATTAGCGAAAGTCTTGCCAGCCTATGCGCGTCCGCAATTCTTGCGTTTCCTTACTAAAATCGACATGACCGGTACATTTAAGTTGCGTAAAGTGGATTTGCAGAAGGAGGGCTTCGATCCGACTCAGATAAAGGATACTCTCTACTATCAAACGCCGAAGGGTCGCTACGAGCTGCTCACACCGGAGATATATGAAAAGATAAACCGTCATGAAGTGCGTTTTTAAATGAAAGGGGGATGAGGAAGAGACACACAGAGAGAGAGAGAGAGAGAGAGAGGGCTATGCTATGTTCCGTGTTGAGGTTATGTTTGCCTGTTTTTAGAGTCTAAGTTTTTTTTTTTTTTTTTTGTTTCAATAAAAAGACATTGTTGCATTAGTTTTTAGTACACACTTTGTTCGCGCAAAGTTTGCCAACTAAAGTTAAATTTATAAATTTTCAAAATATTTTATACTTAAACGTACTGCATACATACCTTGCAAAGAGTTAACTGTTATCTTGCTGTTTAGTAATAGTTGCTAGCATAATATCGTTATCGTAGTTTAACACTTTGTATATATATAAAAATTGTTTGCACTAGTTTCGACAAGACTCCTATCGATTAAGCGATAACTGCTCGAGAGGAAGTCGCTAAAACTTAGATTCACAAGGACTTGAGGACTTGAGCAGTTTTCGCTTTAGTTGAATTCATCTAAAAATCAAACATTTTCAAGACAGTCGAGGTTTACGCACCTAAAGCTGTTGAAGACTATACATGAATACATACATACACGTATATAACTACTTTTACTATGCACAAACCGATTTGGTAAATAAAATGAGATTTATATTTTAATAATAAAAATTGTTTTTCGTGGGAGGGAGGTAGAGTGATACAGAAAGAGAAAGAAACTTTACCACTCTTGGCCAGATGTGATAACCGTACCCGTGTTAACCCCCTGAACGCAAGGGAAAATGAAAAAAACTTTAGTGGAGTTGATCCGCTGACATGACTTGACTAGACTTGACTCCTTCTGCCTGCACCGAGTAAATAAAAGCACTGGAGATATGTTTTATATTTACTGTACGACGCCAAATGTGGACATCAAGTGCAGCTGGGTCCGTCTCCTGCTGATCTTTTTTACTATTGTTGTTGTAATTGCCAAAAAAAAAATTGCCAAAATTGTTTTTAAAAGCATATTACGGAAGTGACAGTCGCTGTTCTAATAGAAATCCGGGTCGTTCCGGTAAAAACACCCAACCGCTGCTTCCAACAGTCGATACTGCACCGCATGCTTTCTGAACTAAAGTATTTTCGTCCTTTCGATTAGGACGAAACTGCTGATTTTTAATTCGTTGAACTTTAGGGGGCGTTTATCTCGCATAGCTCTTTCCCTTCGATGGCTTGTGTCCTTAACCGCCACTAATGCGCAAAGAACACAAAACTTTTATTTTTTCGAGAATTCCTAAAGCCGACTCATGTTATGCTGTCAACGTTCATGTCTGGTGACGTGGTCTAGAGCATATCGAAAATATTTGTAGCTGCCATGAGCTGAGCAATATCAATGACGCCGTAGCTTGTACTGATCATAGTTCTTTCTAGTCTGTCTGGAGACCACAGATACACACATACGCTAACTCTGCATAGATTTTGTTGCTGACTCCCAGTTACGAGTATAATACGACATTGAAGTTATATCTGCCGACAGTGGTGTGGTCAGCAAAACGCGAATCCGCTGACAGTCAGTTCGATGACTGTGGATGGCCATCAAACCAATTTACTTTGCTTCTTTCTCAAACTGGTGAAACCAAAATTAATGATACGGCTGCGGAGGAGCTCTCTTACAAAATATTGTACGCAACCTGTTTAGTTCTGTCGTACGGGTTGTTTTCTGCAACGTTAAGTAAAAGAAGTCGCACGGTAGAGAGAGAGAGAGAGCCGGCCACTTTGTCGTTCCCAACCCTCTTCGAACTTGCGTTGTTGTTCAAATTCAGATATAGCGACGTATAGGCTGCCGAAGGTGTGTTTTAAATTGACAAACGTTGTGTGCCAATCGTTTTTCACGGTCTGAAGTCACACTGAGAGGGTCGAATCAGTTCAGCAGACTTGAATCTTGCACTCAATGCGCTATTTGTCATACTAAGCTCACAAAAATTGACGTAGCTATGTAGTTAGATGATCATGTTCCGCTTGGAAGCACTAAATCAGTTCCTCGAAGAACCGTTAAGCTATGAAGTGGCTACAGACATTGGCATCTGTACAACTGTCATGACAGCCGTATCGAACTCCATGCACCTAAATGTAACACGTACAAGAGTGAAATCACTTTAAGACCCGTTTAGACCTTGAGGCAGATAGGTAACGGAGCCGCGCACTACTTACTTACATGTTGCCAGCGCTCAGCAGTCCTCATAGCTTCTACGGCTGTGCCATTGGCAGGACAGTTGTTCACTGAACACGAGTTTCCTTACATTGAGCAATCTACAAGAGGCATCTAAGGTCCAAATGAGCTCATGGAAACATTACTTAAAATCCATTCTGAGGCAAAAGGAATGAGGAGGAATTTCTGTTTATATGAGGCTGAGAAAAAGGAGAAAAAATTGACAGGAAATTAACTGATAATTTTTTTTGCTGTATTTAATAAAAATATTGCAAAAAAAAGTTAAGTAAATCTAAAATATAATAAATTTAACCAAATTGGAAAAAACTAAGGGATTAGTAAAAAAAATTTATTAAAAAAAAAAATATATAAATAAAAATAAAAAAATATAAAAGAAAATTAAAATAAAATGAATTAAAATATTATAATTTTAAAAAGAGGATTAAATTAAATTAAATAAAATAAAAATTAAGTTACAAATAAAACAAAATAAAACAATATAAAATAACAAAATAGTTTAACAAAAAAAAAAAGAAAAAATAAAAATAAATAATTATTATAAATTAAATAAAAGAAAACATAAGTAAAGAGTTTAAAATAAAAATTAAATACATTAAAAAATAATAATATAAAATAAAACGCTAATTGAAATAAAAAACAAATAAAATAACAATAATAAAAATAAATTAAATTAAAAATAAAATAAATTAAATTAAAAATAAAATAAATTCAAATAATAAAATTGTGTGATAAATAATAAAGAAATAAAAATTAATGAAATGTTCTAAACTAAAGTCAAAAATAAATTAAATAATACAATATAAAATGGAATAGAATAAATAAATGGAAAATAAAAATAAATTAAAAAAAAAACCAAATATAAAAAGTAAATAAAAATATAAAAACTAAATAAAAATATAAAACCTAAATAAAAATATTTAATTAAATAAATTAAGATGATATAAATTAATAATAAAGTGTAATAACAAAAAAAATATTATATGCTTAGTAAAATACTAATATTCAGATATAATAAATTAGAATTAAAGAAAACAAATGAAAAACCCAATAACACACATTAAAAGAAAATAATGAAAAACTCCATAAACTAAAATAAAAAATCAATTGAAAGTAAAATAAATTAATATAATATAAAACAATAAAAAAGTGTATAAAATAATAAACAAATACAACAAGTAAATACAATGAAAAAAACTTTAAAGAAATTAATGAAAAATATTAAAAATTATATGAATGAAGAAGATTAAATAAAATAAAATGCAGTAAAATTAAATAAATAAATAATATATATAATAAAAAATAAAAATAAATGAACTAAAAAATATTATAAACTAAGTAAAAAATAAATAAAAGAAAATAAACTTAAATGAAGTGCTATATATTGAAAGAAATAAAATCAAATAACCTAAAAGAAAATAAAATAAAATAAAATAAAAAAAAAAATAAAATAAAATTAAATAAAATAAAATAAAAAATTAAATTAAAAAAAAATTAAATTAAAAAAAAAATAAAATAAAATTAAATAAAATAAAATATATTAAAATAAAATAAAGTANAGAAAAATAAAATAAAACTAAAAATAAATAAAAGAATATAAAATAAAAAAAAATAAAATTAAATTAAATAAAATAAAATATATTAAAATAAAAAATGAAATTAAGCTAAGAGAAATTATGAGGAAATAAAATATAAAATAAAATTAAATAATGTACTAAATATTATTCTAAAAAATTAAAAGTAAAGCAAATCTAAAAGATATGAAATAAACTAAAGTTAAATAAAATAGAATGAAATTAAATTATAAAGGGATGAGAGGAAAAATAAAAAACTGTACAAAACCTTGCAAAAGTAGATACCTGCCTTTGCTGGGATCTAAAGAAAATAAACTAATTTGCTCTATAAACACTTTTATCTTTATTTTTATTCACAAATGAATATCTTATTTACTTAAAACATTACACATACATATTATATATGTGTGTATATATAATATATTTATTTGCTTTTCCATACATATATAGTTATTAACTTAATACTAAAGTAAATATTGTAGTTGCATATTTGTGTACAAACACCGCTTTCGAGTGCTGCGATGAGTGAGAGATATTTTTTGAATAGAAAAGTTGGTGTTAAGATCTTACGGCACACATAAATTTGCAGTATAATGAACCATGAAAATAAGTGAAAAAAGATTAAACTACAATTAAATAAAAAATAATAATAAAATTAAATAAAAAATAGTAATAAAATTAAATAAAAAGAGACTATAAAATTAAATAAAAAATAGAATTAAATTATATAAAAAAATAGAATAAAATTAAATAAAGTTAAACAAAAAATAATAATAAAATTAAATAAAAAATTTAATTAAATAAAAAATATAGCAAAATTAAACAAAAAAATAATAATAAAATTAAATAAAAGAAATAACAAAATTAAATAAAAAAAATAATAAAATTAAATAAAAAAATAGAATAAAATTAAAAAGTATATATAAAATTAAATAAAAAATTTAATTAAATAAAAAATATAACAAAATTAAACAAAAAAATAATAATAAAATTAAATAAAAAATTTAATTAAATAAAAAATATAACAAAATTAAACAAAAAAATAATAATAAAATTAAATAAAAAATATAATTAAATAAAAAATAACAATAAAATTAAACAAAAAAATAATAATAAAATTAAATAAAAAATAATAATAAAATTAAATAAAAAAAATAATAAAATTAAATAAAAAATTTTATTAAATAAAAAATAGAAAAAAACTAAATAAAAAATAATCATAAAATTAAATAAAAAAATAATAAAATTAAATAAAAAAAAGAATTAAATTAAAAAAACATAAAATTTAATCAAATAAATAGTTTGAATTTCATTATAAGGATTTATTGATTTTTTTAACACGGTATTTTAGGAAAAAAATCATAAGTTAGAAAAATTAGTGCTTCGCTTTTTTTTTATAAATAATAAATATTTCAAAATTAAAAGTTTTAAATAATCATACACGAATAACTATTCATTTTAATAAATTCAATATACGAAATTTATTATTATTAAAATTTTTAGCAATGTTAAATGCTTACATTATATTATTGCATACTTAATTTACTATAATAATTTCGTGTTTTTTTAGTGTTTTCCGCACCTGATAATATGAATTTTAGTTAAAAACAATATATATTTATATTTATGCGATTTCTTTAAAATGTGCCCAACCGGAAGTCAGAGGCTTTCAGTTATTACTATATTATTATTAAAAAAAAATACTTCAGAATGTAAAAAATATATTTTGTAATTAAAATATGCATTTTCATACAGATGTATGTGTAAATCTAATTGGTTATTGTTTTTTATATAAACAATATTAATTGCAGTTTAAATATTTATCAGTTTATATTTACATGAACTTGAAAAATGTGTGTAAATAAGTTTTTATGAAAATTACATAAGTAAATTAAATGTTTTATGGCGTATGAAAGCCAATACAATTCTAAAAAAATCAAAACTAGTAGATAACAATTATTAATTAATAATTATTATTGTTAATATTTTCAATAAAAATTATGAAAAAATTAAAAACTTTTTGTTTTCAACTTGGAAAATTCACTTATAAAATAAATAAGTAATAATAAATTATTATTTTATTTAACTGACAGTTACAATTAATTCACTTTTTTCTTCTTAAAAAAATTTTGTTTTAAATTGCCAACCCTCTCATTTTTAATTTGGCGCTGAAATTATTAATTAAATTAAATTGTTGGTTTATATTTATAATATAATTCTTAGTTTTGTATTGATGTTTCGGCATTTCTTTGCCAGCTTTCCTTGATGTTTGCTTAGGGAAAATATTTTTATTGATCAATTCTTATTTGTTTCATATAGTATATGTACATACATTTGTATGTATGCATATAGTACAGTTTAAAAAATTGTAATGCCACTAGTGTATTTTTATATTTAAATAATTTTTTTCACTTTCATTGTAAATTTTAATTTTTAACTTATTATTCGAAATGTAAAAATTCATGGAAATTGTTATTAACAACTAATGTGTAAACAATTAATAATTTTTTCCATTATTTAGTGCTATATTTGGGCAGAGCTGAACGTTACTGCAAACATAATTTTTATGTTAATTACTGATTGAATTTTTTCCCCGTTGTTTACTACATAATACATACATATACATATATTTTTTAATTCTGAATTTTGTCACTTTTAGTCCAAGATTTTTTACAGTGCTTTTGTTTGAAAACTTTTTTTTGTGTGTTTAATTTTTACTTCCATAATTTCCTAAATTCTAAATTTTGAAGAGTGAAAACTTATCTGAATTTGCTGAGCTAATTTATCAAGTAAACGAATATTTTCACTTTTGATTTATTTAGTTTTGTTTTATTCAAATTTTATTAATATGTAAATTGAAATATTTTTGAGACATCATTAAGAGCTTAACGCTCATTGTGCCAAAGCATTTTTCTAAAATGAAAACAAATAAATAAATAAAATAAGGAAATAGATAGTATAAAATTAATAAAAACCTAGAAAAATAAAAAAAATAATTAAAAAATTAAAAATATAAAAAAAATTAATTAATAAATAAAATAAAAAAACATTAAAAATTATTTATTAAATTATAATATAAATAAATAAATTAAAAAAAAATTAGCTGTTGAATAAAGAAAGAAAATATATACATTCCTATATGTATGTACATATATAAGTATAATCTCTGAAAGTGAAATATATTGCGCTGAAAAAATCCTCTGATTTAATTTTAATATTCCACTCACCTTTTTTTTTTGAACATTTTAAAAATTAAAATTAATTAAATTTTTTTTCTGCTAAAAATTGTATTCATTTATTTTTTCAATGCATTAATTCTTCCATATATATATATATACGTAGTCTTATATGTAACTACAATAATTTGAGTGCATTTATGTATGTGCCATTACTTCTTTGCATGCATGTACATATGTATGCGCAAAAGTATATGGTCTGATAATTCATATGTATAAGAGTTTTGTTTGACAAAAATTTAGGGTTTATATATATATATGTATACGTATATTTTTTTTTTCAGAAAAAATGGAAATTCACAGGCTTTTGGGACATACATTACTAAGTAAGGAAAAAAATTAAAAAAAAAAAAATTCCATAAAAAAATTAAAAAAAAAAAATTCCATAAAAAAATTAAAAAAAAAAAATAAAAATTCCATAAAAAAATTAAAAAAAACAAAAAAATTCATAAAAAAATAAAAAAAAAATTCATAAAAAAAATGAAAAAAAATTCATAAAAAAATAAAAAAAAATTCATAAAAAAAATAAAAAAAAATTCATAAAAAAATAAAAAAAATTCATAAAAAAATAAAAAAAANTAATAAAAAAAATATAAATAAAAATAATAATAAAAAAAAAAATAAAAATAATAATAACAAATAATAATAAAAAAAATATAAATAAAAATAATAATAATAAAAAAAATAAAAATAATAATAACAAATAATAATAAAAAAAATATAAATAAAAATAATAATAACAAATAATAATAAAAAAATAATATAAATAAATATAATAATAAAAAAATAGTAAAAAAAAAATTAAGTTGAATGAAAAGTGCTTGAATTAATGTTAGAAAAAAAATGAATGAATAAAAATACACAAATATAAAATAAATAAAAATGTAAATAAAACTGTTAAATAAAAAAATTATATAAATTTCAATCATATATACTCACAATATTAAACTTATACTTAAATGCATTTTTAAATCTTAATTGATAGAAAAAAATTAGTTGCTTAGTTTTATAACTAAAAAGTTGAGTTATGCAAGTGTAAAAGTCATTTTTACCAAATATGTATATATTTATTGTATTTATTTGTATAGTGCTTATACATACATAATACACATCACCTACATATATGTACATATGTATGCATGTGTTTCCATGTAAGTAAATATATGTATAATATTTTCAGCTGCCTACACGCACTGTGCACTGTCACACATTTGCCTTACCATTCTAAACGCTCTTACATTATTATTCAAGCACATATGTATTCATACACCAGTCGCTCGCTCTTCCATCGCTCACGCCATGCGACATTACAAACTCAACTCTCTTGCACCACTTTGTCTGCTGAACTTTTCACTTAAATAACTAATCTACATCACTAATATATGTATAATGTATCGCTTTAATTTTACTCATTTTCACTTATAAAACTATTCAATTCAACGGCCACAACAGCGCATCATCATCTGCATCGTCATCATCGTCGACCAGGACCGCATCGTCCTGTGACCAATTCGGAAATTGTTCTTGCACTGCATCCACTGCGTCTAAATCTATTACTTCTGTACTTTCAGCTGCTATAAATGTGCTACTCTGCGGTAGCAGACGTTGCTCTTCAAAGTCCGCATAGTAAGTGTCATCTTCCAGCTGCATATATGTATTATCAGTTAGATCCATATTATCATCGGCGATATTCTCAGTGGCCACTGTGACGGGTTCCAAGTCCGCCGGCGGTTCATAATCCATGCGTAACAAGCCGCCGACGCCACCAACACCAACGGAACCACCACCCCCACCAGCAGCGGCGTTAGGCGCCATATGAGGCGCATTCGTCTCCGCATCGACATCCATTAGCCAAGTGTGCACGGTGCTAACACTAGTACGCAAACTGCTGTTGTCATCGTAGCTGGGCGTACCGCCGCTATTCTTCATGCCAATCAAATTTTGATAAATATTCACATCGTTGTGGCCCAACTGCACGGTTGGCACTGCCTCGACATGCAATTTGCCGCCGCTCAATAGACAATTCGGTTCGAAGTGACGTCGACAGATTTTAAAATTCATATTCTCGTGCAGTTTCGGATAGTAATCGATTTTCAGATTGTGACACCATTTCGTGCAGAGATTACGTTGTGCGGGGAAGCTATAGAGTTGTTGCATTTCATGGCATGTACGCACAATGCACTTGCTGCGATACGGCGCTGGCGGTTTGAGTATATGCGCAGCTGCGGTGGGCGTACGATTGCGCAGCAGTAGGGAGGGTCGTGCGCCCGGTCGTAGTAAGCCATTGGGATTGAAACATTCTGCGCGGAAGTGTGCACTACAGATTTTCTTGTCCGAATTACGGTAGAGATTTTCATCGATTCGCAATATTTGGCACCATTGACGGTAGAGGTCGCCTGGAAATATGGAGGAAACGTAAATAATTAATGTTTTATTTTTTTGCAGTTGTTGTCACACTAAGTTAATCTCTTAAGAGTTTAGTTTATCGAGCACAAGATTAGGCTAAGTTTTAGGTGGCTGACACCGAAAAAATAGCTTTAGGTTATAGAGGGAAAGCTTAGATGTTCTTCGACTTTCCTAAGACGTCTAGTTGTCTAAATAGATGCGGACCGCTTGAAAAATACCGCACTGATTAGGAATCCGCAGGCGAATGACTCTTTCTAGAGCAGAACTGTTGAGTAATTTCAGGGAATTTGAAGTGATATTGAATATTTAAACCCTCTCTGCTGGGTAGATGCGCAGTAGCTCAATTATTTACAAAGAGCATGGGCACTTTCTAGGAGCTAATATGTTCCAATTTCTAATAATTTAAATATATAACTTACCTTTAGGAAACCCGTAGAGCTCCACGCCATCCTTGCTCTTCTTGCGTCCACAATGGGGCAGGCAACATTTCGCCTCCATTTCCGCAGGTCGCTCTACACTGTGTATTAGTTTGCTGTTGTGACCCAAACGCAGCGTTGGCACGGCCCAGACACGCAAGCTGTGACCGCCAATACAGAAGGGTTCGAAATGTTCGCTACACACATTATAACTGCCATCCACGTAGGTGCGCGGATCGATTTTCAAATTGAAACACCATTTGGTGAATAATTCAAAATCTTCTGGGAATTTCGAGAATATTTTCAAATCCGAGCGTGTAGCGGTATTGTTGCCGCAATTGGAAACACTGCACGCGATGGCGCTTAATTTTGGCATAGCGGCAGGTGATGGAGGTTGTAGCGTTGAAATTGACGAGCGACTGCCAGCGGGTGGCAGTAGCGGCTTAGGCGTTGATGCTGCCGCTATTGCATTAGTCATTGGTAGAGCATTTGGTGCAGGCAAACACAATGTCGGCACAGCGTTGTTGTTCAAACCGTGCGCGTTGAAACAATCTCCCTCGAAGTGTAACTCACACACACGCAGCTCATTGTGATAGCGCATTTCATAGGCAATTTGTGTGCGTTCGGCCCAAATCTTAATGAACGTATGATTGCTTGGGAAGGGGAACAAACGTCGTTTTGGCTGCGCATCACCACAAGCAGGCACATTACAACGCAACGCTTTGCGGCCTGCGCCACCGCTAGACATCGGTGCCATGCGTTTGAGTGGCGGCGAGGCCAGCGCTGGCAAACGCATTCTTGCCGACTCAAATTGGCCATTACGATAGATATCCGTACTGTTGTGACCTAAATTCAGTGTTGGTATGGCATCTACGACTAAACGCTTGTTATATTGTCCGCGTTCAAAATGTGCGCTGCAAATCAAGTGCGTATTTCGTTGTGCCTCATTGAAGATTACACGCAAATTGTATTCCCAACGTTTGAGGAAGACCGGTTCAGTTGGAAAACGGAATAAACGCACGCCCGACTCACGTGTGCGGCCGCAGTGTGGCAGGCAGCAGGCGCGCACTTTAGCCGAGCCGCCACGCACCAGCTGCAGTGAGAAGAACGAGGAGGAGGGTGTGCCCTCCTTCACAGCGCTCGGCTTCTCCTCACGTATCACATTCAATAGTGAATTTTCACCTTCACCCATATCATAGGCGTTGTCCATATCATCATCATCATTATTATTATTATAGTAATCACCGTCATCCATGCTTGCGGTATACGCACAGCTGCGTTTTGCTGTACTACTCAACTTCTTCGTCGGCTGGCGTTCGATGGGCGCCAGCAAATCCATATCCTCTTGCTGGTAGGCCATTTGTTTTGGCATATCCAACGGCTGTGCATTTGAGCTCAGTTCGTCATTTATCGTATCCATGGTCTCTTCATTGTCCACCATTTCAGCGTAGGGGTTTGCAGTCGTATTTGCATAACTGCGTTCATAGTCGACAGTTTCTCTTTTCTTCGGCTTTTTAAGTTTGTCATTTGTAAATAGTATTGCTGGCGCATGTTTGCCCAATTTCAGTGTTGGCACAGCCCATCTAAACAACTTGGCTTTGTTCTCATAGTGTATTAGACACTTCTCTTCGAAGTGTTCGCTACAAATTTGATAGCGCCATGGCGCATCACCATCATATTTAATACCCAAATTGTGTACCCACTTGTCGAACTGTTCCGGCATGGTGGGAAATTTAAATGTGCGTACATTGTCCTGGAACAATTGTTTGCGGCAGTGCGCTAGGCAGCATTTGCGCGAGCCAGGAATGAGTCTATTGTAGCCATCGGGGGTGCTGGTAGAAACCGCTGCAGCAGCTGCTGCCGCCGAGGTGGATGGACTGCAAGATGAAGATGATAATATTAATACTCTTCGAACAAAATGAAAAGGAAATTCAATAGAAAGAAAAATTATTTTAAATGTTTCTGAACAAATAACCGTTAGGCCATCTACATAAATCTACTTTTACCAATATAAATTTCAATGAATAATATGATTTTGTGATGATGTTAATTCGAGCCTTTAGCTCGCCCGGAAAACTCGAAAAGGACACAAAATGTCGCACGTTCTCTTCCAAATAGATGCGGGAAGGACGGCCACGGGAAATTTTCTTTTTATGTCTACTCAACTTCGCAAGTGGCTCTAACAGCCATACCCATTTCAGTTAAGCCCTACAGTACTTGGCAGCCCAAAGCAAACTGATCAAGAAATAAGGTTATAATTTAACCCAATCGAGAGCGAAGGAGAGGTAGAGAGAGAGTGAGTTCAAACATTCCTTAACTGCTTTGAAGCCCACCGTAAAAAAGAGGCATCCCAAATCAGTCGCTCTGTAGTTTATAAGTGAAGCACTTTGATTATGACTTTGAGCATAGTGTACGACTCTAGCTATCGCCAGGCAGGCTGAGGGTATGGTTTATGGCAATGACTGTGTGAAATCAAGTTGAAAATTTCGGACCATAACCAAGTTAAGGCAGTTTCACTACCAAGATGCTCAAAGCCTTTCAACTTCATTTTCGTGAATTACCCAACCGATCGAAATCAAAACAGCTGATATAACCGGTGGTCTCGGTGGCCTTTTCTTACCACTGTTGCGATACCCTTGTTACGATCCGGGGTACAAACTGTTCTTGTAATACTGTACTTGCCGAAAACACTCGATAGAGTTTGTGAAGCCTTGTTACCAGCCGATATGGAACACTCTTTTAACACTGGAGTTGCAGAGGAGGACGATGAATCGTCAGGGTGGCAGCACCCACTATGTTTACGCCGATCACAAGGGAAACCCTAGACCTGTCACACAACCTTACTGAGAACCGAACTTCATGATGTGATATGCTTTACAAACAGTATCATCTAGGATGCTGCCGCTCGAATCCTCAAAGACACCTGAAGCCGCCGATTCGCCTATCATACAGCATGCAGACTACACGAACTCAGTGCAGCAATACCACACCGAACCGTTGGGCGCGATGACATACAGACGGGTATGAACGACACTCACAAGAGATTCGATTAACACCTTCGACAACTTTCCTATCGTAAATGACGACATTGAAATCTAAGTACTACCAAAGGCTGAGATCGAGCTACTTTCAGAGATCGTGAACTGAAGTTTGACGCGATTACGGCAATACCGAACCGCACCACTGGATGAGATGACAGACATAAATGACACTCACAGAAAGTTGATTGACATCCCTCTTAACTATCTCCATGTGAAGGGCGTTATTGAAATCGTACCAATCGCAGAGGATGAGCTCAAGCCCGATTTGCTGCTAGAAAGCGCGATCTTGATACAACAGCGGTGTGAATAATTTAGCTCACCACACTTCTAACTAATCAGACTCGTTGCCGACATACTGAGGATTTGTTACATAGATGAGGAGTCTTCATAGGAACTACACACTTTTTTGTATGTTTCCTTAAAGCAACTCACACAACACCACTCACCTATGGTCTTAAGACTAATTACTGCGTCTACCTAGCCACTATAGCAACAACGACACGTCAGAGAGTCTACGTCAGAAGACTTAGCGAAAAAAAAACGTTAAGGAATCCTTTACAGAGGCGAATGACTGTCTACTCTTTTTTTTCGGTAGAGATCATTACAGTTTGATATTCTATAGCACAGCGTAAGCAAACGGAGCTCGTTCTTCGGTTTGTGATACTTAACGCTTTTCCCAGAAATGAGACGATTACATAGTCGGTATTTGAAACTAGGACTCTCGACTTATTGTCGTTACTTCTTCTTGCTCTGGGTGCACTCTTAATGGATTTCTGATGTATAAGTTCCGAATATAAATTGTAGATAAGAATGCTGGGCAATCCATCCCCCTGTGAGCTTGCAAGCTCGGCATTATTTATATATATTATAATATATAATTAAAGAGCTCCTCCCCCTATTTGTGGTTTTGCGTCTTAATGTTTTTCCAAAAAAAAAAAAAAATGGAGGCACCTACAGTTTATCCTAAGCCGCCTACGAACGGCCAACGGTTTTTTATGCGGAGTTTCTTTTATTTCATGTCAGAAGTACATTAGGAGGGGTTGATATTCCCTACCGAGGGGCGACCGCGATCACGAAATTGTAACTTAAATTTTTATTAAATTAATTAAAGTAAATTTTGAAATGGAAAAACTCACCGCTCATCCAAAGGCTCTTCTCCGCCATGCCATTGCAACTCTTCATCATCGTCATTCTCATCGTCCTCATCCGACTGATCGAGCTCATCGATTTTCAAATTTCGCGTTGGCACCGCATCAGCGCGCAAAACTTCACCATCGAAATCTGCCGCCTTGAAATGCCATTCACAGATTTTATAGTCATTCGGACGTGAACTATTGAATTCCATGCCGAGTGCTTTCAGCCAAAGATCGAGCATGTCCTTCTCAGTGGGAAAAGCGAAATGGCGCGTATATTCCCTTCGGCTGTGTTTACAATTGATGAGACAACAAATGTCTTGATTGGCATCATTGGAGATGGATGCCGGTGTGGGACGCGTAGGCTGAGGCAGCTCTAACAACGCCTCACCGGGGTTACTAAAACCATCTGGATAGATATTCGGATCCGTGTGACCCAAACGCAAAGTGGGCACCGAACCGAACTTCAATTGCTGTTTAATGCCATAGTAGCAGCGCGGTGAAAAGTGGAGTGTACAAATGCGTATGCGCGTATTCACGCTGACGAGCGTGTCCTCGGAGAAACGGCAATTGTGTATCCACTTCTCACGCAGCATAATATTCGTTGGCAATTTATGCAGATGTATGCCCTCGTGGAGTGCATGATATTTGCTGCTGCAGTTGCGCACGGTACAGCAGAGCAGTGGTATTTGTGACACGTTTGTGCCGCCCATATCAATTTCATCTTTATACTCTTTGTTATTGTATGGCGTCAATGCTGTTGGTGTTGTCATTGCACGCGGCATATCCGTAGCTGTTGTGGTTACTGTCGCTGGGGGCGCCGGTGGTTTCATTTTGAACTTCTTTAAATGATTTATATCGAAACTGTTCTCATAGATGCGCTTCGGCCGCGAAGGCCCCAAATTTAGTGTCGGCATGGTGCCAGGTGGCAACTTGCGGAATTGCATGCAGATCGGTTCGAAGTGGCGCTGACAAATGCGATAACGCCAACGACGCGTGTAATCCACCTTGAGTTGGGTGTTGTAAAGCCATTTGTGAAAGAGATACTCGGACATGGGAAATTTGAAGAGCGTAACCCCCGGATCTTTGGCGTGACTATTACAATCGGGTATGCGACAGTGGCGCGAGGTGTCGCGGTCTGCGGGCGTCGTGTCTACATAATCTGCGGCGTAATCATCAGTATAATCAGCAACAGTATCGGCGGGCATAGCAAATGAGCTGCTCGTTTCGCCTTCATCATTCAATTCGTCTACATAACGGTGGGGATTTGCTTTTGTTACTGTGGCTGTCGTTGCTGTTGCTGTTGCCATTGTGGTGTTTAAATTTTGTTTCGATCGAATTTTATATTTCTTCAAAACATTCATATCAAACTCGTTTTCATAAATATGCGCTGGTCGCGTGTGACCCAAATTACGCGTGGGCATTGTGCCTGGCGGCAATTTGTGAAAATTCAAGCATATCGGATCAAAGTGACGTTGGCAAATGCGATAACGCCAACGGCGGGTGTAGTCCACCTCGAGTTGAGTGTTATGCAACCACTTGCGGAACTGATCTGGAGGTTGTGGGAACTTGAATAGTGTTACGGCCGGATCGCGCGCATAACTATCACAGCCGGGTATGCGACAATGACGCGCAGTATCGCGTTCACCTTGTGCGACGTCGTCGCCATAGTCGGGTACGTCATCATCTTGCGCCTGCTCGGCGGTGTCACCAAAACTATTGAACATATCGAGTAGACCCTGTTTCATTTGGTGCTCGAAGTTGGTTTCCTCGTCTACGTTCTCGTCAAAGTCGTTGCTTTCTTGTTTGACATTTACGATGAAAGGTTTGTGATATGATTTCTCTGCACTGGATGCCTTTGCCACGTGCGCCGCAGTTTTGGCGGCATTAACCTGTGCTTTCGGCTCCACTTTCGGCTGGTTTATAGTTTTAATAGTTGGTTTTAGGTCTTTTTTATCATCTGTAGGTGTGGATTTGCGCATTGAGGGCGTGTCGATTTCATGTGAGAGTTCAAATTTTGGTTTAGTAAATTTCGACACACTTCCTTTTAGCTGCCGTTTCACTTCTTTCAGCTGCTCCTTAACGTTTTGTTCTTTCTTTGTGTTTTCTTCAATTATTTCGTTCTCTTCATCTTCAGCTGCCTCTTCATCGTCATCTTCTACTTCATCTTCGTTTTCGTTTTCGTCTTCTTCATCTTTCACATCATCATCCTCATCTGTGTCTTCATCCTCATCCTCATCCTCATCCTCCTCTTCATCTTCATCTTCACTCTCATCTTCTTCTTCGTCCTCTTCTTTCTTGATCACCTTTCTAGATTTCGCCGGTTTGCTCTCTACCGCCTCGTCCTGTACACGCTTAATGTATGGATTCTTATAAATATCGGTTCTGTTATGTCCCAACAGCAACGTCGGCACTGCATACATGCGCAGCCGTTTATTAATACAGTGCTTTTCAAAGTGTAGCGAGCAAATGCGCGCATTAGCCGCCGAGACCATACTAATTTGTGTATTAAAGACCCATTTTGAGAAGAGCTCGGCATCGTTGGGAAAATTGAAAAACTGTATTTCGTTATCAGCTTCCACCGTGCGTTCTTCCGGCGCCTTGGCGTACACACAGCTGGGTATACAACATTTATTGATGGAGGAGTGGAGCAGCAGCGACGTGCGTTTCGTCTCAGGCCATGTTTCCGGCGCAGGTAGTGGATATATATCAACCATATCTGGGGTACGAGGCGGCAAATTTAGTGTGGGTATGGCCCAAGCTTTCAAGCGTTGTAATTTCTTAGCTTGTTGCGATATGCAAATCTTTTCCAAATGCAATTCACATATTCTAAAGCAATACAAGCGATCGGAGTCGATAACAGTTTGCGTATTGTGACACCATTTGGCCAGCAACTCCGGGTTTTGTGGGAATTTGAAAAACTTGAGCGTCTCTGTGGTGAGATAATTGGAATTGCAACCGGGTACGGCACAGCTAATGCGTCGTACACAGGAGAAATCGCAAACCTTTTCAAATGTATCGTCGAGTTTTTGTAAAATTTGTTGATCCTCCTTTTGCGTTGCGCTTGCCTTGAGGGAGTCTTTGAGGGCTTTATGTTCTATGTAGAGTAATTTGAAATGCATTGGACATATCTTTTGTGATTTTTTAGCGATTTCACTTGCAGTTGCAACATCAACAGCGTTTGCTTCGCTCTTAATTTCCACAATTTTTATGTTTGACATATTTTCTGCTGCTTCTGCTTCTTTTTTGTCCACACACTTTACTTCAATTATCTTATTATCATTGTCCTTGATCTGTTCATTCTTCACTTCCTCTTCCGTCTCCGCACACAAGCCTGCACTAACGCGCCATGCCCGTCTTATTGCCGCTAGTTTTGGGAACTCAAAGAGTTGTTGTGACATCCGTAGCTCCATTTCGCGGCATTTCGCATAGCAGCAGCTCTCCTGTGGCAACTTTAAGGTCTCATTTTTAACCGTTGCACGCTTACGTTTGAACGAATGACTCATCACCTCTTCGCTAACGGTATACAAATCAACAGCGCTGCTGTTGTTCGTGCCCAATTTCAGCGTTGGCATGGCGCCTACCTTGATGCGGCCATGTTCATAGCAATAGCGCTCAAAGTGATCGCTGCATATTTTATATGTGTGCCACACAGTGGCGGTGGCGGGCAGTTGAAGATTGTGTGCCCATTTGTCAAATTGAGTGCGTGATTTTGGAAAAGCGCTTAATATGACGCCTGGCGTTTGTTTGTTATTATTGCAGCCGGATACACAGCAACTAATCAGCTTTTCTGGACGGTCGAAGGAGTCGGGATTGGGTAGTATATCTGGTTCGTTGTGCCCCAACAACATGGTGGGTATGGCGCGTAGCAGTAAACGACCACCGCCGACGCAGCGCGGTTCGAAATGCATATTACATATGTACGCGTCGCGACAATCGGCTGCATTCATGCGTAAATTGTAGCACCATTTCTCTAGCACCTCAGTGCGTTCGTTGGGAAACTTGAATAGACGCACGCCGTCACTTTCGTTTGTGCGTCCACATTTTGGCACACTGCAAATTTTCACTTTCTTCTCGACAATTACCGGCGCAACAATGGTTTCGAACTCGCTCTCATGTATCTGCGTATCGTCGTGTCCCAAGTTTAGCGTAGGTACTGAGCCTTTGCGTAAGCGTGTGCCTTCACGCTTGAAGCACTCAGGAGTGAAGTGTGAGGCGCATAGCTGGAAACGGTAGCGTTTCGCCTGATATGGGTAGTGGCGACAATTCTCAGCCCATTTTTGCAGCATAAGACGATTGGTGGGGTAATTGAAGAGCACTACGCCATCTTTTTTCGACTTCATGCATGAGATTATCGAGCAATGATTGGCACGCACATAGCGTAACTCACCCCATTCATGCTCTTCCGGATGGAAGCGCGACAGCTGTTTGGGATTCGCATGCGCGGCGGTTAGTGGCGCGCCATGTTCGTCTACGCCCAACTCTAGGGTGGGTAGCGCCCAGGGACGCGGTTTGTGATTGCCCATAACGTGCGATTCAAAGTGACGCGCGCATATTTTCGCCTGCTTAGCTGCCTCTTTGTCTAGACGCGTATTATCGCACCACTTCTGACGCAACCAGTCCGGTTTGGGGAAACGATAGAGCGCGCTGGCATCAGCGGTACGCTCACAGCTGGCGATGGCGCATTTCTGTGTAGTATTTGTGGTTGTTGAAGCTTGCGCTGTGGCTTTTGTGCGCGCTAGCTTTGATGGCGTTTGTGAGCGTCGCGCTGTTGCGCTATTGTTTTCATATGACAACACTTCTTCAGGTGTGGGATTCTCTAGTATTTCGTTTTTATGCCCCAAATTGAGAGTAGGTATGGCCCAACGCTTCAGTCGACGTAAATTGATGCAACGCCGCTCAAAATGTGATTCACATATGGCACGCCGCTTGACGTCCTGTGCGCCAATCGCCAAATTATGCCACCATTTGCTCAAAACGCGTTCATCGCGTGGAAAACCGAACAGGTGCACATTGTCTCGACTGCGCCGTTTGTTGCAGTGCGGCAAGCAACAGCGCTCACCTGTTACCATTAACTTCACTTTCGGAACGCGGAAGATGTCCGCCTCCTCGTGGCCCAAATCGATAGTGGGTATAGCCCAGGTTTGCAGTTGCGGACGCAGGCACTGCGCCTCGAAATGTAACGTACAAATGCGCGCATAACGACATTTCACTGCCGGCATGCGTATATTATGCGCCCACTTCTGTAGCAATGTGTCATTTTTGGGAAAACTATATAGGCGTATACCAGCGTCTAAGTCACGTTGTTGACGGCATGTATTAATACAGCAGCGATAGTAGAGAGCTGCGCTGTCGGGATTTTGGTAGACAAATGTGGAGCGCTTGCCTGTCTTGGCATTCTTGACAAGTTTGGGCAAATGTAATGTGGGCACAGCCCACTTCCGCAACGACTTGCCAATACAGTACGACTCAAAATGGCGACTACAAATGCGCCAATGGCGACTTGTTGGACTTATTTGCTTGTCTTGTGCGCTGAGGCCTAGATTATGGCACCACTTGTCGCGCAACGCATCGTCCTGTGGAAAGTGCCATAAGCGCGGCGTGGCGTTGCCTGCTTTTTCCTCACTATCAACTGTGACACTTTCCTGCTTAACTTCATTCGTTTCGCAGCCTTCAATGCAACACTTTGCGTTCCCTACAGCCACGTCGACGCTGGGATTTTCAAAAATTGTATGTGTTACGTCGAGCGTCGGTGGCTTCGGTAGATTTAGTGTTGGCAGAGCCCACTTAAAGAGACGCTTTTTCGCAAAACAACGCGCTTCGAAATGCAGCGCACACACTTTATATAAATAACGATGCGACGAACTGAATGATACCTGAGTATTATGCTGCCATTTGGCGCGCAACTCCTCCGCGCTGGGGAAGGCAGTCAAGCGTAAGTTATCGGTGAATTTCGTCGAGCAATTTGGCACACAGCATTTCATCATTTGTATGCGCGCCGAACTGGTAATGCGCGTATAATTTGTCTCTAATTCTTCCAGCGCTGTTGAGTTGGCTTTGCGTGCACCATCAACGTGCGTGGCCATTTGATAACCCTCCATGTAGTGCAGCGGGCATAGACGTACATTTTGGAAGAACTCATTCGCATTTTTCGGCGCGCCTTCGAAGCTCAATTTGAAATAGTTGCACCAGCGCTCTTGAAGCTTGCGCGTGCTGGGTAAAGCGTAGAGTGACATTTGTAAGAATTGCGCCATTCTGCAATCGTGTACGGCGCATTCGTTGATACTCTTCGGCGGGCGCACTTTACGTTTGGCAGCGGCTCCACGGCGTTTTTGTGGCGAGAGCGTGGCATTTTGCTCACAGATGTTCAGGTCATCATTATGACCCAGCTTCAGCGTTGGTACAGAGCCATATTTAAGGCTTGCGCGGGCATTGCGCTGATAGTTGAGACACTCGCGCTCAAAATGATCGCTACAAACTTTGTAGACTTGCACCAGACGTAATGTGGGCTTTAAATGCAAATTCGTGGTCCATTGTAGATAGAGAGAACGCAACTTGGGAAAACGAAACAGTGTGACACCATCAACTTGATGCGACTTGCCGCAGTGGGGCACACAGCAGCGGTTATAGACGTTTAGAGTGGCGCTTGTTGGTTGCGTTCTGTGTTTCGGTAGGGGTGACACTAATTGCGCGGCCTTTTCGGGCGTTCTAAAGAGCGCGTACACATTACTTTTGCTGGCGCTAAGCGTGTCATGCAAATTTCGTGTTGGTATGGCGCCAAAGCGCAGGCGTCTAAGGCGCCGATCGACCAAACTGTAAGCAAAGTGTCGGTAACAGATGCGTAAGCGTGGCGCTTGTGTTACCTCAACGTTTAATTGCGCACACCAACGTCCGTAAAAACGACTGCCAAAGGCGGGAAAGCGATACAACGGCACTCCGAAACCGCGTCCACAATTGCTTACCGCACATTGAGCATGTTGACGCTGTGTACGTGCGCTCTTGTGCGTTATTCTATTCAACGACAGTCTTTGTATTGGTCGCGCGCTTTGCACGTCAGGTGGCGGATCCGGTGGTGCTTTCTTCTTCCTACGTGGTATGAGGCAGGAAAGCCGAAAAACCGAACGATTTATTTTTCCGCCGCCAAATTTTCTTGCACTGGATGCGACTGCTGAAGCCGAAGCCGAAGCCGAGGCGGAACCAGATGTTGTTGTTGCCGAGGCAGAGTTTGAGGTGGTGGCAGTGAAACGAGTTGTTTCATCTGCATTGCAATAGTTCGTATTGGAGTCATCTTCGAAATTTTCAGGCGAAGCGGAAATTGGTCTTTTACGTAAATTTTTGGTTGATAAACGCGCTTTGCTACGCTTACTAGCTGCCGCTGGCGGTTTATCCTGTGACGCGCCATCGGTTTGATTAACACATTCCACAAAGTCCAATGGATCGCAAGCATTATAGCTACTTTTATCATCTTCATCATCATCGGCGTTCATTAGCATTTCCACGTCATCATCATCGATTTCAGCGTCTTTGCTATCCTCATTATTTTCTTCCCCATTAACATCACTTTCACTTTCGCTTTCATCATCTTCGTCGTCATTATTATACACATTTTCGGTGATACTCTCGTCATCCTCCTCCTCCTCCTCCTCGTCAGTTTCTTCCTCTTCATCTTCCTCATTACCGTAGATATCCCTCTCATCTTCACCATCATCCTCAACATCATCATCCTCTTCTTCTGAATCGGCAATAAAATTGTCGTCAGCACGCGCTTCGGCATTACTATACATGTCATCGTCGTCGCCGGTTGCCGCGCTGATGCTGGGTGTAAAGTCTTCGACTGTTTCTTCTTCCTCTTCATCGTCGCTATTGGCCACACCTGCGGAAGCATAGAAATCATTTTCTTCATCTTCCTCTTCTTCTTCGTCGACACGGTAATCATTGTCATCGTCGTCATCGTTCATTTGTTCGTCATCATCGTATTGGGCGGAAGTGTCGAGCTCAGCGTCGCTGCCGTCAGAGTTGGATTCATTTTTATCCTCCTCCAAAGGCTGTGGAAAGAAGAAAAATTATATTAATTGCATTGACTTTGATAATAGTATGAAGTGGAATACTGGAATTCAAGAAGAAAAAGAGCGACGTAGAGAGAAAAAGATTATAGAACTAAACAGATGTGATTGAGAAAGGAAAGACAGGATCAAATAAACAAATGGAGCGAAGACAAAAAATTAAGAAGGGACAGGAAAAGGAGAGAATGTGACAAGAGAGGGAGAGAGAGAGAGAGAGAGAGAGAGAGAGAGAGAGAGAGAGAGAGAAAGAAAGAGGGTAGCAAAGAGAGAACAGGGGCAACAGAACCTATGGTATTTCCCTTTTTGGATCAGCCCCCCTAAAGTAGTTCGAGGATAGCCCTTTGCTCTTAAGATGCCACTTTCTTTGTCTACTCACATTTCTCGCCTTCTGTCCGCTTGGCGCCGATGCAATCAGCAGTTTGTTGTCATACTCCAATGGCTCGTTGTGACCTAAATTTAGTGTGGGTACCGCATTTGAACGCAGCTTCTTGTTGCCCATGGCTTCGGGTGGAAAGTGTGACATACAGATGCGCGCATGATTACCGCTTGGCTGCATACGCAAATTCGCGCACCATTTACGCAACAAAGTCTCTTCTTTAGGGAAGCCAAATGTACGCAAGTCATTTTCGATTGTGCGCCGCTGACGACAATGTGGTAAACAGCATTTAGGCAGAAAAATGCCGGGTACATTTTTGGGATTCTCATGGATGTGGCCGGTGTGACCGAGCTCTAACGTTGGCTTGGCCCAGGGTCGTAACTCTTTGCCGTCCATGCAGCGCTTATGGAAGTGCATGCTGCAAATACGTATAGCGGGATCTGTAACTTCGTCGAGCGACATTTTAAGGTTATGACACCATTTGCGCATAGTTTGATGACTTGATGGAAATGGAAAGAGACGTACGCCATGTTCTAGGCGACTGCGTCTACAGCTCTTTACGCAGCATTTGACAATACCAAGTGATTTTTTCATCTTTACATTGGGCACTGCCACCAATTCGCCACTGTCTTCATCATTATTATCCACATCTTCATCGGCAGCGTTGGTATTAACACCGTCCAGTTCTTCGGTTGGCGGCGCTGTTGGCGCCGCAGCCTGCACAGGCGGTTCGTTTTGTAAGATCTCCTCTGCATTACGTTCCAACAGTAGAGTGGGTACCGCCCAACGTAGTAGACGCGCCTTAACAATACAACGCGCTTCGAAATGTTGCTCGCAGACGCGTAAACGTGCACATTGACTACGTGTCAATTGCAAATTATGCAGCCACTTATCAAGCACGTCATCGACGATGGGAAAACTGAAGAGTCGCATTGTTTCGAAGTCACCGCGCTCACGCGCACATGTCGCCACGCAGCAACGCGCTTCATGTGGACGTGACGCGCTGCCAAGTTCTGGTATTGCATGTATTTCACTTTCCGTTTTATGTTTGAGTTGTAAAGTAGGTATGGCCCATGAGCGCAGACGTTGAGTCGGTCCAATGCACTCTGCTTCGAAATGGCGCGCGCACACACGATGTGTGTAGCGAGTGAGTTCGGACACTTCTACGCCTACATTATCACACCATTTTTCTATTAATTCCGCGCCACTACCTGATGCGGCGGGGAAAAGGTAGAGACGCTGCGACGTGCGACTACTGCTCACCTGGCTGCTGTTACAGCCGGCGACAGAGCACTGTGCGCTACAAACCTTCGGCGACTCACAACATTTTTCATAAGTCGCTTTCAGCGCTTTCATGGCGTCGCTCAATTCTTCGTCGCCCTCTGCTAAAGCATTTGCGGCATCTAATGTGGATGTGTAGAGTTTTATGAAATGGAGACCACACAATTTTGGTGTCTCACTCAGCGCTTCCGTATCCACTTTCATTTGTGCGCACCAGAGCGCGTGTAACGGTAATGCGGCTGGCATATCATACGGCTCGCTAAGCAATAGCTTAGTTGCACTGCAGTTAGGGTAGGAGCATTTTACGTCATCATCACCACCGGCGGTAATCTCCAACTCAGCCGCATCCTTTTCGCTAGCAAAACGCGGACGCATTTTACCGAAAAGTGAGACTTGTATCTTCGCCGGATCGACTGGGTAGAGGTCATCGGTGTCGTCGTGTCCGAGATTAAGTGTTGGTATAGCGCCGTAATTGAGACGCATCTTGCCCAAGCACACTGGTTCAAAGTGGTCACTGCAAATTTTATATTTTTCGCGATCCTTAAAATCGAGATAATCCAATTTGAGATTGTGTTTCCAATAGCGGAACAGGCGTAAGTTTTTCGGGAAACTATTCATTTGTGCATCATCGAATTTACGCGACTTGCCACATGTGGGCACGCAACACTTGGTCACCACATCGCCGTAACGCGCTTCTGGTGGCGGCACTGGCACCAATTCAATTTCCGGATCATTATGACCCAAGTCCAGGGTAGGTACAGCCCATTTATAGAGCATCTTCGGACCCACACACTCCGCTTCGAAATGGCGATTGCATATGCGCACGCCACGACAATCAATTGGGTTCATTTTCAAATTGTTACACCACTTCCACAGTAAATCCTCATCATCACTGGGAAACTTGAAGAGCCGCACGCCGTCTAATTCCTTGCTGGCGACACAGCCGTTTACCACACACTGAGTTTCAGCGAAACTTTGTGCTTCGTTCGCGAACGCATCCTCAACTTCCGGATCCAGATTCAAAGTCGGTATTGCGCCGGGCATTAGACGTTTAGCGCCGAATGCATGCGGCTCAAAATGACGCGAACACACACGATATTGACCACGAATGGCTTCACGTGCTTGATGACGGGTATTGTGGCACCACTTGCGCAACACCGTGCGACTATGGGGAAAGCGAAAGAGTTGTACGCCATCGGCACGTGTGCGCTTGCAGGACGCAATGCAGCAGACCTGTTGCATGCACAGCTTGATGGCTTTTAAGCGTGCTGGGTTGGTATAGATTTTATAACCGGGCGGCGTGTTCAGATCAATTGTTGGCACAGACATCGGTATGGGACAGCGTTTGGAGAGCACGCGTGGCTCAAAATGTGTAGAGCACACACGTCGTTGGCCATTACCAACGATTGGCATTTGCAAATTGTGACACCACTTAGCCAACATGGGACGATTGAGTACGGGGAAACGGAAGAGTTGTACGCGGTCTGTATCGCGTCGTTTCCGACAGTGTGGCAGACTACAACGTGGCGTCCACGGTTTATGCGGCTCATTGGGATCGCGCATGCGTCGTCGTTCACGTTTTGATTCGCTCTTTATGATCACTGGCGGCGCCAGCGGTTCTGGATTCTCATATAGTTGTTCAACGCTGTTAGCCAAATTGAGTGTAGGTAAAGCCCAGTAATGTAAGCGTCGCTTTTTGCTGAAACAATGCTCTTCAAAGTGTAGATTGCAAATGCGTAATGTTGTGAGGTCCTCACTTTCGGTTTGTAAGTTGTGCGCCCACTTGGCCAACAACTCTGGCTCCTCAGGTGTACGATAGAGCTTGACATCATCGATTTTGGGATCTCGACGACATGTTGACACACAGCATTCGCCCTCATCGATGCCTCTATTAGGCATTAACGGCTTCGGCCATTGTTCAGCTATCTCTTCATCGGTCGGCAAACGATGTTTGGGCTCTTCAGTGTGCCCCAGTCGCACCGTTGGTACAGCCCATTTCTCCAAGCGTTTATTGCGTATACAACGATCTTCGAAATGCATCTCACAAATTGCATCGTTGAATAGTTTACTGCCATCCGGCACTGGTTTCAAGAGATTCTCACACCATTTGGTAAGCATTTCATAATTGGATGGGAAACGATGTAAATTGGCACGATCACGATCACGGTTGCGTTTACAGTCCTGTACACAACACGTTTCACGTATATTCAGTTTCTTAATGACATCGGGATTACGATAAATATTCGGATCCTCATGACCCAAATTTAATGTGGGCACGGCAAATGGACGCATGCAGCCACCAATGCAATATGGCTCAAAGTGTGCGCTGCATATGCGCACACCCTTGTGTAAAGATTCTACGCGTATCTTCAAATTATGGCACCACTTGCGCATCTGCTCCGGACGACGTGGTATTGTGTGTAGTGTTACATTATCAACATTGCGATTACGCTTACAGCTGGGCACAAAGCATACATCCAAAGCGTCCAACATATTTTGTGTTGTCGTACTGCTCATGGCACTCATATCGCCGGCAGTAATATTCGAAATGCTAAATTTCAATTTTGAGACAGGATTGGTATACATGCGTTCACTGTGACTGCTGCTCGATGCAATGCTGTGACGATGTCCGCTGTACGCCGACGGTGGCGTGGATACATTATGGAAATTAAACATTTTCGAGGCCGGCACCGCAGGTGGTGTGGGCAACTCATTTTCATAAATATTGAAGCGATCGTTATGACCCAAATTCAAGGTTGGCACGGCACCTACAAGTATTAGAGGAAATTTAAAATTTAATTATATATAATTGTAATAAGTGAAATTCAAATTCAACAATACCTGGCGACAGTTTTCTCAAGCCCAACGCCTCCTTTATAAAGTGCGCACTACAAATCTTGTGATTTTTCCCACGATATATGGCCGGATCTAGACGCAAGTTGTAGCACCAGCGACGTAAAAGCACTTCATCGCGTGGAAAACGATACAGTGAGAGATTGAAGTCAGATGACCGCGTACGCTTGCAATGTGGCAAACAACATTTTTTCTCCTCTAAATAGAATACGCCCGGATTATCGTGTATTCTGCCATATGGCGTGCCCAAATGTAGTGTCGGCACCGCCCAAGGCTTTAAACGAAACTTGCCAAAGCAACGATCTTCAAAGTGACGGCTGCAAAAGTGGCGCGGCTCACGACTGTGCACCGGCAGACGCGCATTCTGGCACCATTTGATGCGCGTTTTCATATCATTGGGGAAATTATAGAATTTACAATTACTCTCGCCGCGCTGACTCGGGCAGCCAGGCATGCTGCACTGTGCGCGATCACCCACAGTGAATGTGTTGGTGATTTCACGATTCTGATACAAATTTGCGACATCATCGTGACCCAAATTAAATGTGGGCACGGCCCAATAGCAAAGCGAATAGCGATTGATACAGCGTTTTGGAAAATGCAAACTGCAAATGCGATATTGGCCATAATTAGAGCCAGGCTCTGGTAACATTTTGAGATTATGTAACCATTGATGTAAAAACTTGTCATCTTTGGGGAATGTAAAGAACTGCAATGTCGGGCTGGATTGTTTGGTGACGCCGCAATGTGGCACGCAGCATACCGCGCCATCCTCGCCGGTATCAACAACGCGCGTGCGCGAAATAGCTGGCGAGGTGGGAAATTGGAAATTGACACTCGGATACTGTGCTGACTTTGGTGCATGATTGCTACCATTGCTGTTGGCACTTAAATGTCGTTGCAAAGTCGAATTGCTGGCTTGAGGAAATTCATTACCGTTACTATTGCTGCCGCTACCACTATTGTTGTGCGCACCAAACGGATGTGAGTTTTCACCACCATCGACGCTATTGCCAAAAGATTCATTTGAATAATCACCAAAGCGGCGCTGACGCGTTGGTGAGGGCAACGGTGAATGCTGTTGTACGCCTAACGGTGGCGGTGGCAGTGGTGGTGGTGGTAGTGGTGTTTGCAACGGATAATCGGGTGTGGGAAAAATGTCAGGTTCAACTTTTATTTCTGTTTTAATTTTTGGCATTTGAAATTCACTCGAATTCCGTTCGCCATCCACACCGCTCACACTGCTGCGGCGCATAAAGTCTGCTGTTGGTGTTGAATGATGTGCTTGTTGTGGTGGATACTGTGCATGTTGAAGGTGTAGCGAGTGTTGTTGACGCGCCATATGTGGTTGTTGTGCGAAATGCGGATGTGGCTGCTGCGGTGGATGTTGATGGTGGAAGGCGCGATTTTGCAGATAAGATGAGAAACTATTGCTGCCGGGCACTAATGAGCAAAAGAAATTAAAAAAAAGCATTTATGTTTAACACAATTCATAAAGAAAGTCAAAATTCATTTCAATAGTTTACTTTCAATGACGCCCATTGAACAGTCTTGCAGATTATAATTAGTTGCAGGTGATGGCGACGGCGGCACAGGTCCATAAGGTACAGCAGGTGGCATGACGCTGGCTAAAATACAAATGCACATACAGAACATGACAAAGTTAGTTTAGAAAAAGTGACAAAGTGACAATAGAACTAACCTTCAGCACCGCTACCGCGTCTACCCACGTAAAACTTTCCGCAAAAATATGGCGCTGCCAGGCGATGCTGATGCAATTGTATGGCTGTGTGAAACCACAAACGACATACCGGACAATCATGGCGTTGCTGGTTACGGTGTTGTGGCATGTGTGCGAATAACAAATCACGGCTAGCGAAACCCGCCGAACAAACCTACAAAAGCAAATCGAAATGTAAAAGACGGAAATTTAAAACAAAACTTTCTTATTTTTTTGTGTATTTGTTTTGCTTGCTGCAAATTGGCGCTTACATTACAGATATAATTGACATATTCATGCTGCATATACTCATGCACCTCGCACAGTTCAATCGTGTCGAAATATTTGCCACAGTATTTGTGACAAAAATACATATTCTCACGATGTAGTTGCTCGTGTATTTGTAACTCTTCGCTGGATGTAAATGACATTGGGCATATGGAGCATTTAAAGTCATATTCGACTATTTCGCAAAGACTCTGCGAAACGTGTCTGGTGTAGCTTTGCTTTTTGAGGAAGACCTGTTTGCAGCGCTGACAAATTGGCAACGTATCAGAACGTTCCGTTTGCACTTTACGCCGTGGAAAGTTAAGCGGCTGTTGGATGAGAGAGACAAAAATTGGGTAAAGAAATATTATCTTGGAAATGTATTATTTTAAGGGACTTAAGAAAACTAAAATAAAAGCAAACGTTTAAAGTAAAGATTATAAATAATAAGAGAAAAAATAGAAAAGAAATCTTTTAAAGCAAAATTTAAGAAAGTAAATGAATAAGGTAAAAGGCGAATAGTATCGAAGGAAATTAAAAATAAAAAACAATAATACAAAAAATAAATATAGAAATATTACAAAAAAATTTTAAGTAGCATAAAATAAACTTGTTTAAAACAAAATTAATTAATTATGCAAAAGACGATAAAAATAAAATTAAAACTTGTATGCAAATATTAAAAATAATATATAATATATAATTATTAATTAAAAATAATATAATAAGTAATAAAAATAAATAACTAATGAAATTGAGTTAAATTGAATTTTTTTATTAATTTAAATAAAAAAAAAATGCAAAAAATATGATAAAATAAAATGTAGTAGAATAAAAAAAATTATATAAAATAAAATAAAAAAACTAATGAAATTGAGTTAAATTGAATTTTTTTATTAATTTAAATAAAATAAAAAATAAAAAATACAAAAAAATTGGATAAAATAATATTTAATAGAATAAACTTAAACAAAAAAAAGTATACAAAATAAAATAAAAATTGAAGATAAAATAAAATAAAATAATTTCACAAAAACACAATATCGAATGAAACGAAAAAAGTCAATTAAGAAATAATACAAAAATAAAATTATAAAGAATAAAAGTAAATTAAAATTTATATTCAAACAAAAAATTTAATACAGCAATGTAATAATGTAAGTAGTAAAAAAAAATTATATAGAATTAAAGAAGGCTAAATTAAATAAAAACTATTTGATAAACAAAAAATGGGATTAATAAAAAATATAGCAAAATTAAATTAAATAAAAAAGTTTATTTAAGCAAATGTTTAATTAAAATAATATAAAATAAATAAACTATTAAATAACATATGATAAAAAATTTTAAACAGAATAAAATTTTATATTGTAAACTTAAATAAAATAAATCAAATAATTAAAGTAGAATAAAATAAATAAAATTAAAGAAAGTAAAATAGAGCAAAAAAAATAAAAATATTACAGTAAATAAATCATAAAAATAGGATAACTTAAAATATAATAAACTAAACTTAAATAAAGTATAATTAAAGAATTAATAAGTACAAGACGATTAAAATAAAGCACTAAATAAAAAAAAAATAAGATATGAAAAATATTACTAAAATGAGAAAATTAAATAAAATAATGAAAAAATAAATAAAAATAAATATAAAAAAGTTTAAACGTAAATTTAAACAAAACCAAAAATAGTGAAAAAATATGCTAAAATAACCAGTAACAAAATAATATTAATTCATTTAAATCAGATGAAAGTAATACTCAAATTAAAAATTTTTTTTTAAATAAAATAAAACCAACTTTATAAAAAAAAAATAAGAAATGAAAAATATTACTAAAATGAGAAAATTAAATAAAATAATGAAATAATAAATATAAAAAATTTAACCGTAAATTTAAACAAAAAAAAAATATTAAAAAAAAATATGCTAAAATAACCAATAACAACAATAATATTAATTTATTTAAATCAGATAAAAGTAATAATCAAATTTAAAATTTTTTTAAAATAAAATAAAATGAACTTTATTTAAAAAAAAAACTAAATAAAAAGAAAAAAATAAGAAATGAAAAATATTACTAAAATGAAAAAATTAAATAAAATAATGAAATAATAAATATAAAAAGTTTAAACGTAAATTTAAACAAAAAAAAATCTTAAAAAAAAATATGCTAAAATAACCAATAACAAAATAATATTAATTTATTTAAATCAGATAAAAGTAATAATCAAATTTAAAATTTTTTTAAAATAAAATAAAATCAACTTTATTTAAAAAAAAAATGAAATAAAAAGAAAAAAATAAGAAATGAAAAATATTACTAAAATGAAAAAATTAAATAAAATAATGAAATAATAAATATAAAAAATTTAACCGTAAATTTAAACAAAAAAAAAAAATATTAAAAAAAAATTTGCTAAAATAACAAATAAAAAAAAAATAGTAATTCATTTAAATAAAATAAAAATAATACTCAAATTTAAAATTTTTTTAAAATAAAATAAAATCAACTTTATAAAAAAAAAAAACTAAATTAAAAAAAAAAAATAAGAAATGAAAAATATTACTAAAATGACAAAATTAAATAAAATAATGAAATAATAAATATAAAAAGTTTAAACGTAAATTTAAACAAAACAAAAAATAGTAAAAAAAATATGCTAAAATAACCAATAACAAAATAATATTAATTCATTTAAATCAGATGAAAGTAATACTCAAATTTAAAATTTTTTATAAAATAAAATAAAATCAACTTTATAAAAAAAAACTAAATTAAAAAAAAAAGGAAATGAAAAATTTTACTAAAATGAGAAAATTAAATAAAATAATGAAATAATAAATATAAAAAATTTAACCGTAAATTTAAACAAAAAAAAATATAAAAAAAAAAATTTGCTAAAATAACAAATAAAAAAAAAAATAGTAATTCATTCTATTTAAATTAATATTAAAAATTATATGGGCATTTCCGTTTTGTCAAACGTGACTTTTGCACAAATTCATATTAAAATAAAAAAAATCTATCGTTTAATAAAAAAAAAAAAACCAGTTTGCACATTTCGATTTGGTTACATTTCCGGAGGAGTGATAAGCAACGTGGTTAATGTAAGTTTTATACCGTTAAAAATAAGTTTTATGAAAATTTGAAATACGGATTGCTTAGTTGTATTCACGGTGGACTTTTGTGCGGAAATGCCCCTACTACATATGTACATACATGCTTAAGCAAATTTTAAGTACTTTTATTTCTTTCTGCATATCTTTCGTCAATGCATCTTCCTGGTTTTCTATCATTTCATCAACCAAACTTTGTTTGCCTTCTTTGTCTGCTTCCCTTGGCTTTACATTTATTTTACGCATTTCAGCGCGCTTCTGGCGTGCTTGTCGTTTACGTATGCGCTCATAGCGTCTTTTCTCTTCTAACATCTCTTCATTGCCTTCAGCCAACTTTTTCCACCTTTGCCTAGCAATCCGCATTCTTTCTTGATTTCTTAATTTAATATTATGTAATTTTATCTCATCATCCTTCAACTTTTCTCGCCAACGCTTGCAATTAACTTTATTTCTTTCGTTGCTATTTTTATTCATCTAGAAATAAATAATTTTATTTGTTGGTATTTACATACAAACAAAACGAAAATCTTGTTTATGTAAGATACAATTATTTTCAATTTTTTTTTTTCTCAAATTTATTTAAGCACAAAAATTATTTGCTTAAGTTCAAGTGCAAGTTGATTTTTAAGAGTATTACAATAAACTCACTCCACATTTTACACATTTTTTCTCCGATTTTCGTTTGCAAACCGGCAATGTCGCATGGGACAAAACAAAAACTTACCGTTATTTGGTATGGCAAAGTTTTATTTTAAAGATTTATGCACTCTAAAAAATGCTATAATGTGGAAACTCGTATAAATATAAAAGAAAATTTGTATTTTTATATTTTCTACAATTATTTATTCCCCTATAAATATGTGCTAAACAACGTTGTTTTATTAATTTTCTTATTTTGTTTTTTTGTTCGGTGTATCTTCTGGCGGAAATGTCCATATTTAATTTTAAAATTATTACATAAAATTGTATAATTAACTAATTAAAGTTTAAGTGATAATTTTACAATAAATGTTATTAAAATTGAAAATAATTAAGTTACAAAAATATTATAGAATTTTATAACAAAAAAAAAAAGACTAAAAAAGGAAAGTTAAGTGGAAGTGAAAAATTAAAAAAGAAAAGTTAAGAGAGAATTAAAAGCAAAAAGAGAGTAGTATCTTCAGCCATGCCGAAATCTTTATACCTTTCATAAACATAGCGCCTTAGGCTTAAATTATATTAGTGCTTAGAGCTAAATGTTACTGTGATTCTAGTTCTATTATTTTACTTAATTTTGAAATTAAAAAAAAATACACATATTTGTACAATCAGTTGTATGGAAGCTAGATGTTATAGTCGACCAAATTTTGATGATTTTTAGTATCAATATATTTTTCTTCTAGTCCCAGAGTAGCACCTTAAAATTCATGTCTATTGGTAGTTAATTATGGAATTATGTTGTCAAATCACATATTTGAGCAGTCAGTTGAAGGAGTACGATTTTAATGATTTTCAGTATCTATAATACGTGGGCCATATACTGAATTTCATGCCTTTAAATGCTTTATTGTCCGAATTTTGAAATAAAATCACAAATCTCAAAAGTGAGTTGTATGGGAGCTATCCTTTAAAGTCGACTGATTTCGATGATTTTCGGTATCAATATTTCACCAATAATCTGTGAACAGTATACTATATTTCACCTACTTAGTTACCTATTTGTGTAAATTATGTTACGAAACTACATATATGACTCAGTCTGTTGTATGACAGATATATATATGCTACAGTCGTCTGATCCGGTTGGTTCACACATATCTCAAAAGAAAGTTTACATTCAAATGAAAAGACGTACGGAAAAGGATAGATAAAAATCAATCCAAATTTTATAGCTCTAACTCGTCTTCTTCTGGCATTTACATATGTACACGTACACACTTCGGAGCAAAGCTAAAGCACAATTTCATGTTTGTTCTTTCTAATAGCTCCACACTCTACCTGCAGCTGAACCCAACTAGATTGCCATTTGGATAAAAAAAAATCATTTGGCTGGGTCTAACCAATGCTTATGAAAGGCATATTTATATGTAAGTAAATCTCTATAGCTTTTACATGTACTCACCTTATTTAATGACGCTTCCGAAAATTCCTCTTTAATTTGTATTTGTGGTTCAAGTTTAACTTGTAATAAGCCAGCTTCGGCCATTGCATCGCGCGATAACATTTGCTCTTCTTGCTGTTGTTGTTCTTCATCTTGCCGATGTTGTTCATCTTGCTGCTGTTGTTGTTGTTCTTCTTCTTCTCCTTGCAGATTTTGTTCTAATTGTTCTTGTTTAATTTGTAATTGTTCATGTTGCTGTTGCTGATGTTCTTGTTGTTGCTGCTTATGTTGTTGTTGTTCGACCGGTTGTTGTTGTTGCTGTTCGACCAGTTGTTGTTGTTGCTGTTCGACCAGTTGTTGTTGTTGTTGCTGTTGTTCGACCAGTTGTTGTTGTTGTTGTTGCTGCTGCTTTTGTTGTTGTTGCTCAATCAGTTGTTGTTGTTGTTGTTGCTTTTGTTGTTCTACCAAATGCTGTTTTTGCTTTTGCTGTTGTTGTTGTTGTTCCTGTTGCTGTTGGCGTTGTTGTTGCTCCTGCTGCTGCTGCTGTTGTATTTGCAAATGTTGTTGTTGTTGCTGTTGCTGCAACTGCTGGTGTCTCTCTTGCTCTTGCTGGTGCTGCAACTGCTGCTGTCGCCTTTCTTGTTGTTGCTGATGTTGCAACTGTTGGTGGTGTTGTTGTTGTTGTTGCAGCTGTTGATGTTGCTGACGTATTTGCAATTGTTGTTGTTGTTGCTTTTGTTGCTCCACCAGTCGTTGTTGTTGTTGTTGTTGATGTAGATGCTGTTGCTGTTGCTGGTGTTGGAGGTGGTGGTGTTGTTGTTGCGGCTGTGGCTGCTGCTGCTGCTGTTGCTGAAGGTGGTGATGATGATGATGATGATGAGGCGGCGGCGGCGGCTGTGCCGCTGGATGTTGTTGATGCGGATGTTGGAGTTGATGGGGATATGGTTGTAAATGCTTAGGAAAATGCATATAACCCGCGTTAGGATTCATTTTTGTGCTTCCTGTTGCAATGGCTTCATCCGCCGAACTAACCTTATTGTACGGCTCATCTGTGGGTTCGGCTGTAAGAAACAACAGGAAAATCGAAATCGATGTTAGTTGAGAAATTCATTCGAGACTCATTCGTAAGCAACAACATTCGTAACGACTTGCCGAAGGCGAACAAATGTGAAATATAGAGAAAATGCACATACATACATACATACATACATATGAATGTATAAATGCAGCCGCATACGCACGCACGCACGCATACACATATACAGTTATAGAATAAATAAATAGATAAACTTACTTACTTACTTATACTATAGTCGAGTCATAATAATGTACACTCGTATATACCTAAGTACATATGTATGTATGTAAACGGGAATTGAGAGCTAACAAAACTGCCTTTTAAACCAAGTATTATATTTTATCAAAAAGAGAGAGAGAGAGAGAGAGAGAAAGAGAGAGAGAGAGAGAGAGAGAAAGAGAGCGCGCACCGCCGAGTGCAGATGATGGCTAGCAAACAATGTCATTAATCAACACAATTTAGTTACTTCAATTTTGCTTAAGATATCAATAACAACAACAACATCATCACGTATAGGTTGCTATATAAATATACATACATACATACATATATAGCGCATAGACCATATTCCGAAATGACGAAGTAACAAATACAAAAACAAAGCATCCGCTAATAAAAGGAGGAAAAAGGGATCTTCAAAGCCGTAAAAGCAATGGGATGACTTGGGTTTACTAAAAGTACAATACACACAAATGTCCATGCATATGTATATATGTATATATGTATATGTGCGTGTATATACTGAAATGTTATCTCATCAAGTTTATTTCAAAAAAGGGTACACCGCTTCTAGAAACACACAAGAATCCTCGTTTATGAATTTTGTATATACCTACATACATATTTATGTACATACATATTATAGTTTATCACAAAACAACTGGAGAGAGAGAGAGTTCTTCTTCATACAAAAGCAAATATTTTTAAAGAATTCTAAATCTCGAAGCAAAGCTGAAAAGCCTGAAATATGAATTAAAGACATTTCTGTCTGACCCCATGCTACAGCCCAGGCTTGTACTTACATAATTAGATTTATGTATACGAAGCGTTTGCATAAATAAAATTTAATGATTTTATTATTTTTTAATTTCTAGTTCTCTGATATAATTAAAAACCTCCCTCAAATAATGTGCACACAGATATATATACCGAATTCTTCTTATACTCACATACCCCCAGATAACGAAGGCTAGCAAGTTTTTTTTTTTGGGCTTGTGGTGAGGCTTGTAGCATTTGTATGCCTTTCTAGAACATCAAAGAACCAGATTGTGAAAATTTTAATTTTGTTTTTCGTTTGCTTCTATTGAAGATAGAAGATTTTTGTGTTTTATAGTAACTTAAAAATCATTTGGTGGTAGACGATTTTCTCTTGCACTCTACTCTCTCAGTTGGGACGCTAAGTAAGTACAGCGCATATCTGTGACAAAACTGGTGTGAGAAAATTGTTCTTCACTGCTAATGTAAATTGAGGCTGGGAAAGAATAATATCTCATTTCATGTAAGCTATCAAGTCGTTATCATCTCGGGGGTACCACTGCTTCTTTTTAATTAGTATAAAACAACCCAATCATACTTTCGGGTTTTAGTCTTGCTTCAAGGTATACAGTTACAATACATATCACTGCTTGGCACCCACGCCACGGCGGAGGAAACCTTCTATGAGCCTTTGGAATGTATGAGTGAGAGCGTTGCCTCCGTTAAAATCGTTCGGTATGGAAAACTTAGCTTGCGCAATGAATCCAAATGGTTTGAGGTAGAATGCAGGAGCTGTAGTTATATACAGCACCAGCTGCCAGCACAAGTAAATTTATTTAGCTAGTAAAACATGCCTCCAAGAATATAAGCTGTTCGTACTCTTAAATGATTTTCTTACAGCAGCTAAGATATGTACGTACTCGCCTCTGTGCAGCATAGGATACCCGTTAAAAATAATCACAACGTTAAAAAGCAGCAAGCACAATATACAGTCTAGCAATTTTCTACTCGATTTTCATCGCCGCTCTGAGAGCGCTCGCCAACAATTCGGTATAAAGAACTTATGCGGGTTAGGGGCTCAAGAATTTACCCGCGGTAAGGCATGCCTGTCTTAAGAGGCGACTGAAATCCAATAGTTCCCGCGACAGTCGGGTCTTTATACCGAAACGACCCGGATTTTTATCCGGCCAAGGACTGTCACTCACGCAACATTCTCCAAAAAGTGCTTTAGAGAACAATTTTGCGATTACAACAACAACAACTTATTCTTAAAAAACTACTAGAGAGTATATATTTTCATTGTGAAAATTATATAATGTACACTTTGTAATGTATTTGTTGCTTATTTAACAAAGTGGTTGTCATAGATTCGCAAACACTCTATTTTCTCCGTGCAACTCATACATTCCAATATCTAATCTTAACGTACTTAGTGTTTTTATTTTAAGCTGTTCAAATCAGTCTCCAAGTTGAGTATGAGACAGCTTTATCTTCTTCTTGTTTTCTTTTTCAAATAGACTAACGGTGGAAGATTAAATGTAAAGCTGAAAGCGTGTAATATCTTATATCCGTCTCTCTTCAATTCTTCAATTTTTTATTTAATTTTATTTATTTTCACTTTTATTTCTATGTTATCCCCCGTCAGTGCCTAACGAATTGTCATCGCCGTTTCAGTGACAGTTGTTCTTGTTTTCGTATTATTCACGCTCGAAAATGTCCGTTTATGTGCCAAATTCTCGCCATTTGCGGGAAGTTTTACTTTTCTATTACAATTCGAAAAAAAAAATTCAGCTGAAGCGTATCGAATACTCTCAGAAACTTACGATGATGCTGCTCTGAGTGAAAGAATGTGTCGGGAGTGGTTTCAACGTTTTAAAAATGGTGATTTCGATGTCAAAGACAAACATGGTGATTATGATTTGTATTTGGTGGGATCAGCACGGTGTGATTTACTATGAGCTCTCAAAACCGGGTGAAACCATCACAGGAGATCGCTACCGAACTCAACTGATGCGCCTTAGTCGCGCGCTAAAAGAAAAGTGGCCATAATATCAAGAGCGACATGACAAAGTCATCCTCCAAAACGACAATGCTCCGCCTCACATCGCAAAAGTGGTCAAAAAATACCTGGAAACGCTGAAATGGGAAGTTTTGCCTCACCCGCCGTATTCCCCAGATGTCGCCCCTTCTGACTTCCACCTATTTCGTTCGATGGCACACGGCCTGGCAGATCAACATTTTCAATCCTTCGAAGAATTGGAAAAATGGATTGCTTCATGGATAGCGTCAAAAGAGGATTCCTTTTTTCGAGCCGGGATCCGAAAATTGCCGGAAAGGTGGGAGAAAGTTGTCGCTATCGAAGGACAATACTTCGAATAATATATCTGTAAGCACTTTTTCGCAATAAGCTGTTAATTTTGAAAAAAACGGCGGAAGCAAAGTTGTATACCTGATAGTAAAATTAAATTTAATTTTTATTCTTCATTATTTATTTTTTATTATTTTCTTTCATTTTATTTTTATTTTTTTTCATTTTATTTTTATTTTTTTTTTCATTTTATTTTTTATTATTATTATTATTTTATTTTTTATTATTATTTTATTATATTTGTTATTATTAATATTAGTTTATTTTTTATTATTTTTTATTTTATTTTTTATTATTTTTTATTTTATTATTTTTTTATTTTATTTTTTATTATTTTTTATTTTATGATTATTTTATTTTATTTTTTATTACTATTTTATTATTATTTTATTTTATTTTTTGTTGTTATTCTATTTTATGTTATTAAATAATTTTTTATTATTATTTTATTTGTTACTATTAATATAATTTTATTTTTATTATTATTATTTTATTATTATTTTTTTATTATTATTTTTTATTACTATTTTTTTATTATTATTATTTTATTTTATTTTATTAATATTTTATTTTTTGTTGTTATCTTATTTTTTGTTATTATTTTATTTTTTTATTATTATTTTTTTATTATTATTTTTTATTATTTTTTTTTATTATTATTTTTTTATTATTATTTTTTTTTATTATTATTATTTTTTTTATTATTATTTTTTTTATTATTATTTTATTTTATTACTATTTTATTTTATTTTATTACTATTTTATTTTATTTGATTACTATTTTATTTTATTTTATTATTATTTTATTTTATTTTATTATTATTTTATTTTTTTTTGTTAGTTTAT